GGGACCAGGGAGGTCTTCATTGTGGGGGGCTGGTCTGTGCAGGGTTAGGGTTCTCAACAGCATCCCTGGTTTCTCCCCAACTAGACGCCAGGGGCAGCCCCCTCCCCAGGCACGACAACCAGACATGTTTCCAGATGTTGCCAAACGCCTTTGGGGAGTGTGGGGACAGAATCCTCTCTGGCTGAGAACCTCGGCCATAAATGGAAAACTGCTATTTTTTCTAAAGCATACATTCAAATAGTCACTTAATAATTAACATGCCATCTGAAATCATCTCATGTTGCCCACTTAGGGAAGAAGCCCAAAGCCAGAGGGAAAGCAGCGCTGTGTGAGGGGGACTTTCCTGGCCCGTGCTGGAGCTCTGTGTTGCCCGGACATGTTCGTTAGCCTTCTGTGCCTTAGTTCCCTCACTGGCCAAAGGCAACAAGGACAGCACAGCCCCCACAGGGGTGTGATAGGACCACAAACACAGTCGGGCTTTTAGCACAGGCAACAGCAGCAAAGAACAAATGTCACTCAGTACTGTTACTATTTCTAGAATCAAAGGTTTTCAAGGTGGGTTTTTCAGAGCTTGAGGGTTCCAAAGGGGTACCTCAGGGTTTGCCCAAAGGAGTGGGGTGTCTGAAGCTTGGCACCCTCACCTGTGGTTCAAAGCAGAACAGCAGGGGTTCATGAGTGGCTCGGTCGGTCCGTTAAACAACCGACTCCAGGTATCAGCTTGGGTCATGGGATCGAGCCTGTGCTGGCTCGATGCGTCTGGCTCTGTGCTGAGCTCAGAGTCCGCTTGTGACTCCCTCTCTCTCTCCTCCTGTCCCTCTCCCTTGCTCTCTCTCGATCTCTCTCTCTCTCCCTCTAAAATAAATAAATCTTAAAAAAAAAAAAAAAAAAAAAAGAAGGAGACCCAACGAACTGACTCTGACCATTCTCAGCTCATGTTTCAGACAAAAGGAGGCCAGGAGACTGGTAGGCTGACCCCAGAACCGTACTGTCCTTTAAGCACCTGGCGTAGGACTGACCCAGAGAGGAGCCACTGCAAGCTTTCAGGGAATGAGCATTTCTCTACTGGGGTTCTGAGCAGGATTCAGTCTGAGAAAGGACTTTCCCTGATTTGAGGAAACGAAGATGGAAAGCCCTAGCACTAAATGATTGTTTTATAGACCACGCCCCCCCCGAAATGCTTCTGCCAGGGCCTGCTGTCCTGCACACCACCCCAAGAACATCTTATTGGTATCATTTGGCTACTGGGGGTGCGTGCACCACGTTCTGCCTGTGGCTCCCAAGAGAGGGGCTGCAGCAGATTTCCACGCGGCACATGTCCCATCGAGGGTTTCCCACAGCAGAGGCCAGCACACAGACACAGCAGCTGCGCGGAAGCCTCTAATCCTTCCCATCGGCCTGCAGGGCAGCTGGAACTGGAACTATCAGCTCTACAGCCGAGGCCAACGACCAGCGGTTCCTACCTCCCCAGTCCAGGGATGTGTTTAGTTGGCATATGTGAAAACGAAAAATGAAAGGGAGGAAAAAGGGAAAACGTCTGAAAAATTGAGAGATACTGCACAAAGATTTCGATTTCTGGCTTGCGAGGCATCTTCAGTGGCTGTAATCAGGGGAACTGAGTGAGGCTGTCCTCTTTAGAAAACACACGTGCACTCTGGTTTGCTGTGGTCCTCACCCCTCCCTAATGTCTGCTTCTCTTACTGACCCCACCTGTATGCCTTCTGTCATTGTCTGAGTTTGCTGCTTCTCCCACAGAAGGACGCCTCTTCTCCTTCCTTGTGAATTAATACCAAAGCCACTACTCACAGGACTTACAAAGATGTTATCAGACATCATGGAAATTTAAAACAAGGATTCTGGAGATGCTGGTCAAAATATAACACAGTTTGTAACTTTAAAGAATTAATGCTTGTTTCAAAGAGGCTAAATGTAGGGGCACCTGGGTGGCTCTGTCGGTTAAGCGTCCGATGCTTGATTTTGGCTCAGGTCATGGTCTTGGGAGTCTTGGGATCGAGAGCCCTGTGTCGGGCTCTGCACTCAGCAGGGAGTTGGTTTGAGATTCTCTCTCTCCCTCTGCTCCTCTACACCCTCCATTGCTCTCTCTCTCAAAAAAAAAAAAAAAAAAAAAAAAAAAGGCTAAATATCAATGAAAATGATTGTGTTTACTTACCATGAAGAAAAACTAAATGAGATTTAAAGAAATGTACATACAAAATCTTTAAGTCACCACTGACATGCAGGTAAGTGGCTTTATTTAACAAGTAAATGCCAAGCGGGAGGAGGCAGATGGGGAAAGACTAAAAGGGCTGGAAGCGAAGCAAGGCGGTGGGATCGTGGACTGATGTGGGGTTGTGGGTTTTACCCTCAAGTCACTCATACCCTTTATCAAACAACAAGCACACACGTATTTCTGCTTAAGCCAGGGGTCGGCAAATGCCGCTGTGCAGGTCAAACCAGGCCCACTGTCTGGTTCTGTACACAGCGTTTTATTGGAACGCAGGCACATCTGCTCACTTACATATTATTCTGGCTGCTTTTGTGCTACCTGGAGGGGCTGACAAGTTTCGACAGAGACCTACGATCCACAAGGCTTTGAGATGTGAACCTTCCCACTAGATGTACATGGTGAGGGAGTGGCTCTGGTTTACCAGCCTGCGGAAAGAGCACAGTTCCTGGAGGTCATTCCGAATGCCAGCTAACTGGGGACCAGAGTCTTGGCATGCTCCTTACTGTCCAGGGAGGATGACAAAAGAAAGACCCACGAGGAGCCTCCTTATGGTTGCCATTGTGATTTCGTGGCCTTTGGGCTGCAACAGTGCCTCCTTCCTTGTGATGGACCACAAGGGAGACTCCATTTATCTGTACTGAGAGCTCTTGTTATCCCCATTTTACAGACAAGAACACCAAGCATAGAGACTGCCTGAGGAGTCAGTATGAGTCCGGGGCAGAGGCTACTGGGGTGACCTGACTCCAGAAGGAACTCTGCCAAGATGGCACATGGTGATGCTTCATGGTGGAAGCTGGAGACCCACATGCCCCAGCCCCGGGGCTGCAAATCCCCAGGGTTCACTGAGTCTTTCCCTTTCCCTGGAATCAGACGCCAACCCCAATGATTCATTGCCTCCCCCCGGAACAGACACAGGTCCCCCGCTGCTCTCTAGTCTCACGAAGTATGAACACTCCCAACCTAAGCTCTCAACAGCCATCTTTGTCAGAAGTATGGGCAAAGCAGTGTTTAAGAGAACAGGCGGAGAAGACGACCTTGCCAGAGCCCTGAGCCCACAGGCAGAGCCACTCAGGATTGAAAATCTGGTCTCGACAAGGTCTACCACTAGTCTATGGAGAAACCCCACTAGTCCAAGCCACCACTGCCCTCACCGCCTAACTGGGCTTCTTGTGTCTCTTCCTGCCTCCCCTATATAACCTCCACAAAGAGGCCACAGGGGTCTTTCAAAAATGTTAATCAGACGAGCCAGTCTCCCGCTGAAATCCACCACTGGTTTTCCATTTCAATTAGAATCAAGTCCTCAGTATGGACCATGAGGCCTCTCCTGGTCTGAGCTCCACCAGTCTGTGAACTCATCCCTTCTCCTTCCTCCTGACTCTCCAGGGTCCACACACACTGGCCCTGAGATCGTGCCTCCACCACTCCAAATTCATCCCGACTTTGGGTCTCTGGACCTGTATTCCTCCGGCTCTCCGCATGGCTACCTCGTCACCACTGGGTCTCTGCTCAAATGTCGTTCCTCAACCTCTCGATGCCCCCCTACCTGATGCCCTGACTCTAGCACTCACCACTATCTGATGTTACACACTAATTTTTTGAAATATCCTCAAGCTACCCCACTAGAACAGAAACCCCCGGAGAACAGAGGCCTGCCTTGATCTGGGTCCCATTCCCAATGCTTCGTGTGGTGCCCTGTACATGGAGAGTACTCCATAAATATTTCTTTAATATCTTCAAACGCAAGAAATTCTACTGTCTCACAGTAATTCCTAGAGGAAATGTCACCGTTCGTGTCGGAATGGCTTCAAACGGCTTTGTAAGTGGCCCACTATTTCCTTCCCTCAACTCCACAGAAGGCTACTCTACACCTTTCCCGAAAACCGGGACAAACTGAGCAACACCCACAGGAAACCCAAACTTCAAAAAACGAGTCCATACCAGCTTTAAGGAGGAACGTAATTCAAAACATGAAAATTTATTCTAAGTTGTATCTTAACATACGAGATCTCAGCTTTAGATGAATTTTAATGTTTACAAGTGTAAAAGCAAATAAATATTTACCAGTTGCTTTTTTTTTTTTTTGCACTCTTATAACTCCACAACAGCTTAGATGCAAAAAAAATTGTTGCTAAACATCTTGTAGTCTGGCAAAAAGAAGAATTTCTTATTAAGAAAACCCCTCACAACAATCACAACCCCTCATGCGCACGGCTGCCTTGCAGACTATCAGGATGGTTTGTTAGGATCTGAGCGCAGGATAGAGCAAAGAAGCACTACAGGACGGGGTGACCGGGGATTGCCAGCTCAGGGCGGGGGCCAGAGCAGCCATGCCCCAGTCTCACCATCAGCTGGGTACTGCATACAGCAAACGGGGCTCTGGCAAAGAGAGCCCCACTGCTTGGGCGAGGACTGTGGGCTCCCCACTTAGCAGGGAGCCTGACATGGGCTAAATCCTAGGACCCTGGAATGATGACCTGAGCTGAAGGCAGATGCTTAACCGACTGATCCACCCAGGAGCCCCTCATTGTGTAGTTTAAATCCTCAGTTATTCTGCGGTAAGTAGATTTGTTAAGGAAACAAATATCACAGCAGGACTTATTCCAGCCACAATGAGAGAGAAGTTATTCTTATTAGAATAAAAAATGCAGACAGACAGACAGACAGACACACACATAAACATCGCTTACGCCAGGGACATATACAATCTTAGGAAGACTAAGCACTTTCTGGAGCTTTGTCTCCCATCCCATCTTCAGATGAGGACCGGACCACTTACCTGGATTAACAGTGATAAATTTGCTATCCTCAGAAAATCGGTCCCCTCGGGACATGGGCTTTTTCGATGGCATCGGGGGCCTCCTGGAATCGCTCCCTTGGAAACGCTCCTCTGTGACTGTGGGGGGCACTTGGGTGGAGGTGACCAAGCCAGAGTCCAGGCCGGGGTGGGCATCCCTCACGTCATCGGGCTGATCTGTGGGGACGGCAGTGCGGTCCTGCCTGGGCCCGGGCAGAGTCTGATGCCCCCCCTCCTCGGCAGTCCTGTTGGAGGACGAGGGGGTGGGGGTGGGCTTGTCCTGCCTTGGCTCCTGGGCAGTGTGGGTCACCCCGCTTTTCTTCTTCTCGGGGTCCTTCTCCCCCTCGTCCTCATGCTCCCGCTCCCCGTCCTCACTCTCACTTTTCTCATCCTTCTCCCCTTCCTCTGTGCCCTCGCTGTCCTTGCTCGGTGCCGAGTCGCCGTCGGGGCCTGGGGAAGCCAAGGCCTCCGTAGTGGCTAGGACGGGCCTGACGGCGTGCTTGCTGGCAGAGGCGGCCGTGGGCAGGCGTGTGGGCCACACCGTGCTGGGGAAGGAGGGGATGCCACCACCGCTGAAGCCCAGGCCGGCCAGGAGTGTGCTGGTGACCACCGAGGCCACGGTCGCCTGGCTGCCGCTAGAGGACGGGCCCATCCCAGTTGCCATGGAGACAAATGAGAAGGGGATGCCGGAGGATGTCCAGGTGGAAGAGCCCGAGCTGATGGGGGCCATGTCGGCCGACGAGGCAGGAGACGCCGTGGGCTTCAAGGGGTCACGCGGGTAGGGCAGGAGAGGGGAGAGAAGAGAGAGCAGAGCAGCGTCAGTCATCAGGATAGGGAAAGAGGCCCTTAATGGGTTTTACTCATCTTTGATTCTCCTCACAGGGTTTCTCAAAGAGCAGTGCCAAAGGTGACACGAGGCGGTCCGTAAACAACCATCTGTGGCCTTAGTGGTTACACAATTACTTGCAGTGCATTAAAAACTTAACTAGCCTATCAAACCCAACTTTTCACTGCTATGGCTTAGGAGGAAGCCAGGTGTCAAAAGAAAAGTAAGTACTACTAAAACTGGTAGAAAAACAAAAAACAACTAAGTAATAAACTGGCCAAGTCAGATGTTCGAGTGATCCCAGGGTGACCCTGGAAGACACAGACGCCCTTGCCTTTTCATACACCAGAGGCCCTAGTGGAGCGCACAGAGTAATTAGGTCCAGAAAAGCCCTCCGGAGTGGCCACCCGAGTCAGCAGCAGCAGGGTTGGAAGCAGGAGCCACACTCCACACTGCCCGCTTTGGGAACTGGCTGACAGCCGCGTGCCCTCAGGGTGGGCCCTGCACGGCCACCGGAACTTCCAGAATCTCTGGGTCTACATGGTCTATCTATGACCACGTATATGGCAACAGGAGGAATTCCATTTAACAAGAACCCACTGTGTGCCAGGCCTTCGCACCCTACCCTGGAGGCATGGAGGTTCATCACCCCATTTTACAGGTCAGGAAACCGAGGCACAGAGATGTTAAGGGCTGGAAGGAGGGCTGCCTGTGTGGGAGCCTCAGCTCATTCTTCCCACCACACAAAACTGGGGCTTACGTGTGGGAACCACATATGGTACCTCAGGGAAAACAAGAAATGTTGCTCTAAGTTATCCATTTAATTTTAGTTTTTATAACCTGGAGTATAGAACCCAGATTTCTATCCCATCACTTCTATAGTTGAAAACAACACAGCCAGAACAACTTGGATTTCATACCATTATCACCATACTGTAGCTGGGAAACTTTGTAGTTTAAGGATGGCCGAGTTAGCAAATGTTAGGTTCTAAAGTTGGTTAATGAAATTCCAAATGCCACGTAAGATAAGTTGCCCAAGACAGAGAAGTCAGACGGTTTGGGCTTGAGTTGACAAGCCCCTGTCTGTGGGATGCTGAGTACATTACTTTTAACTCACTGAGCCTCAGTTTCCTCATCTGTAAAATGGGAACAATAGTAATACCAATCTCATGGGATGCAGCCAGGAGTAAATAAAATAATAAAATAATCTGTGTCTAAAACCCAGGAAACACCAGCAAATTTTAGACTACTACTGTTATCACCAACACTATCATTAATATTATGACTGTTATTCACACTAGAAATGGCAAAGCTTAGATACTAATTGAAGCTCCAGAAGTTTGCAAATCCATGTAACGCTGGGAAATGAGAGCCTCTGAACCTTAGCATATGTCACTGAAGGGCTTGGAAGAGACCTTTTTCACTCCTTTTCGAGTACTCCTACATTGTATGATCTCACAGATGATACATAATTTAAAATCGAGAGTTTTTATCTTGGTAAGAATTATACAGTATAACACAACTGCTTTAACTCTGTCGCATAGCTTCTTTTCATAACACACAGAGTTATGAGCAGTGAGAAATGGAAGGGTTTCTTTCTGTCTTTTCAGCACTTCGTGAGCAGTTTAACAACATCATACTGCCACCCAGTGGTGAAAGTTTTTACTGCATGTGAATGAACAACGGGCTGGACAAAGCAATTACCATCTGCTACTTACCACTCCTGTTTTAACAATTCTGGTCCCTTGGAATATTCGAGTAGTATTAGCTGAAACAAAGAAATTACACTGTGAATAATACACCTTTTTTGTTGTTCCAACAAAACTTTACTTAAGCTTTACATACAACTGCCACATGTCACGAGACACTATTTCTGCAGACTTTCTCCCAGCTATTTAAAAATGTAAAACCCTTCTTAGCTTATGAATCATTTAAAAACTCTCAGAATGCTATACAGTTTCCTGGCTCTTAAGTTTAAGCTATTAGTTTCAGTTTTTTGAGTTTTTAAATTGTTTTCTGTTTTGAAGTATAGCTTACATAAGTAAACATATAAATCTTAAGTGTATAGTCTAATTTTCTTCTTTTCTTTTTTTAAAGATTTTATTTATTTATTTGACAGAGAGAGACCACAAGTAGGCAGAGAGACAGGCAGAGAGAATGGGAGAAGCAGGCTCCCTGCTGAGCGGAGAGCCCGATGTGGGGCTCGATCCCAGGACCCTGAGATCACGACCCAAACCGAAGGCAGAGGCTTAACCCACTGAGCCACCCAGGTGCCCCTATAGTCTAATTTTCTTTGTAAACACCTCTGTGACTACCACTTGTACTGAGACATAGATGTTCTCCAGGACCCAGCAGGTGTGTGTACGTCCCCACCTTTCCGAAAGGTAACCACAATTCTGACCTCTGTCAGAGTTTGGTCTATTTTAGAACTTCATAGAAGTGGAATCATATTATTTCTTTCCTTCCTCTTAGCTATCTTTAAAATTTATTATTATTATTTTTTTAGTAATCTCTACACCCAACATGGGGCTTGAGCTCACCACCCTGAGAACAAGAGTCCCATGCTCTTCTGACTGAGCCAACCCCCATTATTTTTTGTTTATAATGTATTTTACTATCCATTCAGTCATTATAATATGAATCCTGAATTTACTGTAGTATACCTTAAATCAGTATTTTACCACTTGCTAAAAACATAAGAACTGTACAATAATTTAACTCTATTTGCCTGCCTCACCTTTTGTGTATAGTCAAGTATTTTTTTCTACTTAAGTTTTGAAACCCAATAAGATATTGCCATTATTACAGTTAGTGGTCAAATTCTTACATGATCCACACAATACTCATGCTGGTGTTCACTCCTTGTAGTTTTCTTTGACCATATGTTAGTATTATAAACAGGAGAACTGAAAAAGCTTAATTGTATAAATTGTATAAAACACACATAAAGCTTACCATCTTAACTACTTTTAATTTGTAGTTCGGTAGTGTTAAGTATATTTTCATTGTTGTGCAATTTGTTCATCTTTCGAAACAGAAACTCTGTATCCATTAAACAATACCCATTTTTCCCTTTCCCCGACCCTTTCTATATGTTTCACTATAGCTACTTCATGTAAGTGGAATCATATATGTCTTTTTGTGACTGGCTTATTTCATTTTGCATAATGTCTTTAAGGCTCATACAATGCTGGACTGTGTGTCAGAATTTGCCCCCTTTTCAAGGCTGAATAATATTCCACTATATGCATATACCACATTTTATTTATCTATTCATTGTTGGTAGACATTTGGGTTGCTTTGCTGTTGTGAGTAATGGGAACAGTATAATTAAAAACAAACAAACAAACAAACTGACTCTTTGTGATAACTCTCAAAAAACCAGTACTGTTATATAAACTAAAAGTTTATTTCCTATATATACATGGCACTAAAAAAAAATCAGTCCCCCCAAAAATGCCAAAATAAATAATATGTGTACCTGTTGTAAGTTTTTACCTAAGCCAGAAGTGGCAAATGGCTGACATAGTTTTTCGTTTGGCCTGCAAGCTTTTTTAAAAGGTATTTGTTGTGATAGCCTTCAACCTAAAAAAATCCCAATTTCCTGCTTTTCTGAAAAGTCACAATATTCGGTAAAACTGAAGTCTCCTTCCTGCAGGGGCTGAGCGTCCCTCACTTCCTTTTGATGGACGTAGGATCTCTGACTTCCCATGGATAATCCTCCCCTCCTCTGAACAGGCTTCCGTGCAGCCTCAGGGGTATGTGGGTCTGTCACCCCTGACCTAACCATACATTCCCCGTGCATAGTTGTGAAGTCCAGTGTGTGAAGAGACAGACGTGGAGAAGAGACCCATCTAGAATTCAGGACAACTAGGTCAAACACAGCAGCCTTGGAAGCAAACAGCTCTTACCTGGGAATAACTAACTGGTTTAAGCCAGGGTGACTAGGATGTTTCTTCAGGACCATTCAGGTCTGAAATGCTGAACTTGGTGCCCATGGGATCCAAGGACAGGGGGTAAAAGGCATCTGACTTCCCATTAAGCTCTCACTGACATGTAGGGCTTCCTTCCACCATGAAAAGCAGGCAACAATTCTCAGCTACCCTAGCAGGACCAGAGACTTTGTCTCTGACCTAAGTCGGATGTTATTATATTGCCTTATATATTTGTCATAGCTAGTTTGGAGTATCATTTATGTTTATCACTACTCAGAAATCACAGTAGCCAACAGACCCCACTGATTGTCATTCAATGTTTTAATAATAATATTAATAATAATAATAATAAAAGCATCTATGACTACATTCCAAATTTGTTTAAAATATTTTGACAACTATACTTGGTACTTGGATATAATTGGTTGTCTTTTCTATGTATTTTGCTTATTTATTTTAAGCCATGCTGAGAGAGGATCCATTGGCTTCAGGTTGCCTGATGGGTCCGTGGCTTGGAGAGTAAGCTACAAAACCATGATTTTCCATGACTGTTGAGAACTGCAGACAGGCTCTGAATACGCAGTCAATCTTTCCATCTGCTTGGTGAGTTACTGGGGGTACAGGGTAATATTTACTCTTTGGGGTGGTCTGTTGCTGTGTTTAAATGACTGGGTTTTGGAATAAGAAATTCAGACCCTGCTTAGTAGCCAAGTGATTTCTTTTGCAAGTTAGTTCACTGCCTAGGAAATCATTTCTCCATCTGTAAAATAACATACACGTTACAAGCTGCCACGGGTCAGATGGTGTAACTAATGGGAAAATGTTCTGTAACTGTGAACCATTCTGCGGATACCACTTGCTATACTACTGTTATTATATTTACCCCACTAAGGCAAATAGGTAACATTTATTATGCTATACAGAACATAAATAGTGTGATATTTACCATAATGTAAACACCTTGCTACCTCATGCTCTCAAACCAGATGTAAATTTCATCACTGGGAAACCCAATTATTCTGAGCAAGGCTTCTGTGAAATTCTCAACGCTTTTCCCCTTACCATTTCTTTCTTTTTTTTTTTTTTTAAGATTTTATTTATTTATTTGAGAGACAGAGATCACAAGTAGGTGGAGAGGCAGGCAGAGAGAGAGGAGCCTGAATTCAGGGCTCGATCCCAGGACCCGGAGATCATTATCTGAGCCGAAGGCAGAGGCTCAACCCACTGAGCCATCCAGGCGCCCCTCCTCCTTCCCTTTCAAGACTTAAGTCCTACTCGTTGCTCGGTGTTGTGTACGGGGCCCTACTGCTCAAAAATGCACACTTGGGGGCGCCTGGGTGGCTCAGTTGGTTAAACATCTGCCTTCGGCTCAGGTCATACTCCCAGGGTCCTGGGATCGAGCCCCACGTCGAGCTCCTTGCTCAGTGGAGAGTCTGCTTCTCCCTCTGCCTCTCCCTGCTGCTCGTGAACTCTCTCTCTCTCACAAAAATAAATAAAATCTTTTAAAAATGCGTACATGGGGGGCACCTGGGTGGCTCAGTGGTAAAATCCTCTGCCTTCAGCTCAGGTCACGATCCCCGGGTCCTGGGATCGAGCCCTGCATCGGGCTTTCTGCTCAGCAGGGAGCCTGCTTCCCTTCCTCTCTCTCTGCCTGCTTCTCTGCCTACTTGTAATCTCTGTCTGTCAAATAAATAAATAAAATCTTAAAAAAAAAATGCATACATGGTTCCCAACAAGAGGTGTGCTAGCCTACCCAAAGGTCTAGTTGGTACACTGCCCTCCAGCTGCTGTAGGGAAGACGTGAAACCCATCTCGGGGAGGAGTGGAGAACCAGGGCCCTCTGCCTACACATAGGGACAAACACCAATATATAACACACGTCAACTCACATCCACCTCTAAACAGACTGAGTCCGTGCACAAAGGAGACACTGGCCATTGCCAACAAGTCTCTGTGATCAAACATTTTAAATACTCCATGCTTGGAATTTATAGCTGATAAGGCCTTTTTGCATTACCTTACATTATAAACATTTAATTTTTCAAAGTCCACACAGAAGCCAGCAAGTTCGGGGGCCTATTAATCAGGAAAAGCATTCTGCAGAGCCCAGGTTCTCGGTCAGAGCACACAGGAGGCTTAATCATGATTTATGTGTCGCAAGTTCCAGGGCCCTGGCCTCAGCAAGCTCCCACTGTGGCCTCCCCTTCTCTCTCCCTTGGGCTGGCACAGGCCCGGCTTCAGCCTCCTGGACCCTCCTCCTGGACCCTGGGCAGAGCCACCAAGATACTAGGCATAGGTAGCCATGGCGAGCGTGATTTATGTGGGCAAAAAATCCACCCTTGCTCATTTCAATTAGTTTAAATGGAAGCAAGACATAACATGAACCTGAGCAAACAGTTAAAGGCCGAACTGTAAAGCTAGGAGGGCTCCTTAGAGGGAATCAAAGTCTGAAAGGCTTCCTGCCCAGGGTTCATAATTTCTTATTTTTTTAGACCAAACTGAATACTGAAGGGACATCTACAGTTGGTGCCAGGCGCTTTGCTAACTACTTAACACGCTTTACTGCACGTCATTCTACGAGGCCCCTGTGACAGGGTACTGTCACTATTACCCCTTTTCAGACTGTGACACTGTAGCTCCGAGAAACTTATCAATGTTCTCTGAGACCCCCCAATGCTGAGCGGTAGCCAGACTCAAACCTGGGGCCCCCATTGCGGGACCAGCATGTCAGTCTTCACTGGGCAGGCCAGTAACCTGGGCCATCTGGCTAGAACTCAGATTCCTGGCCTCACCCTCAGATTCTGATGCAACTGCTCTGGGAGGTGCTCAGGTGCGTGCATTTCTCGGAGACTCCCAGATGATGCTGGTGCTGCTGGTCCACAGACTGGGCTTCACGGGGCCCCTGAAGCTGGATGCAAAATTCTGGCATTTTCTACACACAAGGTCCAAGGCCCTCATCAGATATGTGACTCCAAAAGATTAAGACCCACTGGTTTGGTGTGGAGGTTTCTCTGAAACTGGGGATCCCGGAAGGAAAGGACCCTATCAGAGAGGACCTTAGGCTGGCAGAGCAGGACGCAAAACTCTAGCGTTCCCTCCATGCTGGTCTTGAGGTATGTCACCAAACCAAGTCAGCAAACTATGGCCCACAGCCCAGCTGCCTATACTTGTCAATAAAGTTTCGGTGGAACCAGGGCTGGGATTAGGTTGGGACAAGTGAGACAGAGTGGATCCTATCTTTATTTAAAATTTGGGTATTTTGGGGGTGCCTAGGTGGCTCAGTTGGTTAAGTGTCTGCCTTTAGCTCAGGTCATGATCTTGGGGTCCTGGGATTGAGCCCCGCATCGGGCTCCTTGCTCAGTGGGGAGCCTGCCGCTCCCTCTGCTTGTGCTCACTATCTATCAAATAAATGAGTACAATCTTAACAAAAAAAAAAAAAAAAAAAAAGAATTTGGGCATTTTGTCCACAAACTTTTTCTTTTTTTAACTGAAAAATATAATGTATCTGATCACTGAGTTTTTTGGTGCTCTTTTAAAATTTGCACCAAGGTTAATGCCTCTATTGCCTCACGTTAGTCCTGGCCCTGGAAATTTCTACAAGACCCTATATCAGCAGGTACAAGCCCCTGGGATCCTGTAAGCAGCGGCTCATTTGTGTGGCCTGCAAGCCCAAAGAGTGGGCCGGATACTTGTGCTCCAGTTCTTAAGAGAACAACTGAATCAGGCTAGAAACCCAAACACATGACCAGGAGGTGATTTCACAATGACAATGTTAGACAAATACTTGGTTCCCCACAGCTGGAAAATAGCAGTAGTAAAAAAAATAATCAACACTTTGCTCTTCTCCCCCGTCTTCTGGCCTATGAACCCCCAACCTAAGAGGCAGATTTAAAACCCCACCCTGGTTCTTAGGCCAGGTTTATTTTCTTTTGTCCAGGTCCCTTATTAGAAAGGCTAAGGCAGCACGAAGTAGGAGGCGCAGGGCCACTGGGGCCCAGAAGGATGGGAATGAGCCTTACCTTGGAAGAGCATCGTCTGGCTAAAGTCACTGCGCATGTCATTCCGACACACCGCCTGGACCCGGAACAGGTAAAGGCTATCGGGGGACACATGGCTAATGGTGGCTTTCTGCAGGGGAAGAAAGGAAAGGTAGTGAGTTGGTTTTGAAGGCTGCTACACACTTTACCTTCTACAGCAGAACCTAAGATCAGGGAAAGTAGTCCTTTTAGATTACTGGGTCCCCTGACCAAGCCTGAGAGCCATGATGCTTCCCTATGGACCATAGGCTCACTTTGAAAGGGAAGGAAGTTCAAAAATAACTGGCTGGGAGTCTGTTTTCAACACTGACATATGCAGGGTGACAGATGTAACAAAATCCACCTTGACTCGTTCTTGACTGTTGTTTGGAACACGTCCCCAGCCTTCTTACCACTCACTAAACTTGGACTTCTTCTGTAACAACCACACCTTTTGTATAGTTACAGACTATCCTTATTGACCCTAAACAGCCTCTAGAATGATCAAGTAGACTGACTTTTCAGAACCATGCAGAGATCTCAGTATCAGTGACAAAATCTTGGTGTGTAGGTTTCTTTGCAGTTCAAAGGCCTTGTTGTACCTTGACTGATGGATAATGTGGGGCACGATGCCAGGAGAGATCACCTGCCTAGAAGCCAGATGTCACGAGATCTACCTTTCTCCCATCACTCACTAGTGGCGTGATTTCAAGTCAGTTGCTCAATGTCTTTTTGTTCTCTGCCAGCTTCAACTGTTACATGGAAAGAGTAGTGGCAACCTCCCAGAGTTCTTGTGAGTGCTCCATAACATAGACCATGCAAAGCTTGTTCACAGGTATCCCACACCACACAACAAAAAACACCCCTGGTCTAACACAGAGGTCAGCAAGCTACAGCCACAGGACAAATCTGGCCCACTATCTATTTTTATAAATAAAGTTTTATTAGCACGCAGCCACACCCATTCATTTACATGTTGTCTGTGGCAGCTCGCACCCCACAATGGCAGAGTTGAGTAGCTGCCATGAAGACCTTATGACCTCGAAAGCTCCCAAATTTTGCTATCTGGCTCTTTCTAGGAAATGGATTGCCAACCCCTGGTCAGGCGTCACCAGCCAAATCCAGATTCCCACTCTTCAAAGCTTTATTCCAAGAGCCTCTGAAAAGGAGAAAACGGAAAATTCCTGAAAAGCAGGCAGCCCTTGCTTCCTGAAACAACACACAATGAAAGAAACGGATTCTCAAAGACTTCCTAATGGATGAAATGTCCCGTCACTGAAACGTACATTCTGCGTCAAATATGGAAAGCAGTTCTCGGAGCAGCTTAACTGCTGAGTGGCTAGTGAAATGCTCTGAGCAGGTGTGCCAGTATGACTCACGACACCTGCTGTTCTGGCCTCACGAATGGCTTCCTGGGGACGGCACTGGGTTGGGGTCAAGTTATTTCACTCGAAGACTCATTTCTTTATTTTGGAAAAGGCAGGTAGTAACACCTGCCCCACAAGCAGCAAGCCCCTGAAACAAGGACTCGGGCTTTTAGGTTTCAGAGCCACTGCCACCGTAAGTTAGAGAACAGCTTTGTTGCCACTAATTCAGCACTCCTGACTTCTTGAGGAGTTAAGGAAATTCGTTTTGTGTGTCCACAAAGAAAACAACCACCCTTAGAAAATCCTGATAAAAAAGAACCTGCTGTCAAAGCATGTTTTCCTCCCCATCTCTCCCTTTCTCTGAAACTAATTTATGCCTCATTCTTGAAACCTCTGACCCCTGTTCAGTCTTCATTCAGAGCCAAATCTTTGCTCCGTTTACACAAGGGTTTATTAGAATTCACTACCAGCCCGTATCTATTTATCTTTGTGTGTTTATTTTCCACCTAGAACAGGAAACTGCATAAGCACCTGGACAGTTTCTGCTGATGAATGCAAGTCATCTTTCCTCCAGAAAGAGGAAAATCCCTTATGGACTTCCAGCGGTGACAAGAGAAAGGTTAAAACATATCATAACCTTGGGTGCCTTTCAATAGATTTCTCTCTGATTTCATGAAGCTCGTCATTCCCTAATGTGACCCAGATAACAATGTCTAGTGGGGAAATTGAAAATATAAATGGAAATGAAGTAAAGGAATCTTCATCTAAAAGAATATGAAAGTTATTATTCCATAACTGATTGAATGGGCCCTGGGGACTCTGTATTGGGAAGAAAAAAAAAAAGGGATAAGTTTGCAGCTCTCCGCCCATCCACATGAAGAACCCCACTTGGTGTTCCTACATTTTTTGTGCACAGGTACAATTACGCTTTCATTATGCCACAGCCTTTTTTTTTTTGATCAACAATAAGTGCAAGGCTTTCAAACCCAAATGTGTCACTTTGAGTTTCCAAAGACTTCGAGCCTCCTGCTTGTTGGAAGCATTTGCTTTTCCAGCCGAGAAGACAGCATCTGCAAACATCTGTTCTCAAGGGCCCCGCTGGGTGTTGGGCACTAAACACTGATGGGAATGTTCACATGGGAAGCAGAACTGGGCATGAACAGCTCAAAGTCAGGTCAGATTGTCTAGGGTCTGAGATCCTGAGAACAGTGATTAAAAATCACATGGTCCCAGGGATCCTCTGTGGAATGGTCATGTGTAAGGCTGATTGAACACAGAAGGAGTGCAGGGGAGGGTGGACAGCTGCCTGGTCAAGGTGACTGTAAGAGCAGCAGGTGGGGGGCGGGGGGGCGGGGAAAGAGGAGGAAGAAGAATTCTAGGAATAATAGCCTGCCTTTATCGAGCACTTACTACGTGCTAGGACCTGCTGTGCGTTTGCATAGCTCATTTAATATTTACAATAACCATAACCACTAAAAAGTGCTTCACGGAAGCTCTGTGTTGTGGTTGGTGGTTTTTCCAATGAAAGTATAAGCAATCCGTTTACAAGAGCCTGATTCCAGGGAAACGACCTCGGTTTTCCTGGCGGTGTGTTAGGCAGCAGGGGCAAGGTGGACGGAGCCCCTGGGGGGATCGGGCCACGCCCCCGCCGGCAGCCGCCGCACCACAGAGCACAGCCCTGGCTGGGGGCGCCCTCCGCGGGTGGGGGGAGCTGCGCTGACACAGAGAAGATACCCTACGCGGGGACCCCCGGGGCCCCACCCCATCCCCACCCCCACCCCTGACAGACACAAGGGAGGCGGGGGGCGGGGGGGGGCGGGGAGGTCTCTTCGAACTGCAAGTCAGTTCTGAACATCTGCGCACAACAGGGAGCTTTTACCAAGTCCTTGTCGCTGTCCTTCGTGAACGTCTTCTCCTTCTCATCCTCGTTCTTGGTCCAGCTGTAGGAGATCATGTAGTTCATGATGGGCGGGTGGTAGATGGTCTCGGGCTGGCTCCAGGACACCTGCAGCGCCGTCTGGTTCAGAGGCTGCACCTTCATGTGGACCGGCGGAGAGCTGCAAACTGAAGACAAGCACACGTGCGCGCTCAGGGCCTCCCCGCCCAGCGCACGCGTCTGTCCTCCGCCCCGCAGTTCCTCAACACTCCAACCAGGGCGCCAACGGGGTACAGGACACAGCCGTCCTCCTTCCGCCCAGATTCACCTGCTGCTAACAGTCTGCACCTGTGTTCTCCCATGCTCCCCTCCTCTCTCACACACACACAATTGTTTTCCTGCAAAATCACGGGAAACAGCTCGCAAACCTGCTGACACGTCACTCCCTCATACTTGGGCCATTCTCTCCTCTAACTGCATTGCCCTGCACACTTACACCCTCTTCCCCAAATTCATATGCTGAAGCCTTACCTCTAACCTCATGGTATTTGAAGGTGGAGCCTTGGGGAGGAAACTGAGTCACAAGGGTGGAGCCCTCCTTATGAACGGGATTCATGTTTTTATAAAAGAGACTTGTTGTTTACAAACCACCCAAGCTACAGCAGTTTGTTGTAGCAGCCTGAGCTAAGACAATAACCATAATAACATTATCATACCTAAGAATTAATAAACACTAATTCAATAACATGATCAGAGGGGCGCCTAGGTGGCCCAGTAGCTTAAGCCTCGGACTCTCGGTTTTGGTTCAGGTCATGATCTCTGGGTCATGAGCTCAAACCCTGCCTTGTGCTCCCTGCTCAGCGGGGAATCTGATGGGAAATTTCTCTCCCTCTTCCTCTGCCCCTCCTGCTCCTGCTCTGTCTCTCAAGTAAATAAATAAATCTTTAAGAAAATAATATTATCTGATACCTAGAGGTCATATTCAAATGTCCCTGATGGTGTGCAATGATTATTTCTAGACATTTCCCCCCAATCTCATGCTGTATTTAGTTGTCACAACACCTAAGATTCTTCAAATCTTTTAGAGTCCCTGGCTTTTTTCCTTGGTGACTTGAAGAAGCCAGGCCGTTTGACTGTGGAGTAGTCCAACAAACTAAAATTGTAGATGAAATTTTGCTGTACGGGCGCCTGGGTAGCTCAGTCCATTAAGCGTTTGCCTTCGGCTCAGGTCATGATCTTGGGGTCCTGGAATCGAGCCCCGCATTGGGCTCCTTGCTCAGCGGGAAGCCTGCTTCTCTCTCTCCCACTCTCCCTGCTTGTGTTCCCTCTCTCTCTGTCAAATAAATAAATAAAATCTTAAAAAAAATTTGCTGTAAATAGTTCAGAGTATAAACACATATAATTTAAAAAGAGACTTTAAAGAATTTCAAAGCAAAGACACAAATGTGGATGATTTTCCTCTGGAAGAGTAGCACCTTGTGTGATTACCCTGCTGGAGGGCATGAAGAAAGCCAGGCAAATTCTCCTTCTCACTCCTATGGCTGGCAGGTTTGAAAGGACAGGTGGATCTCTGTCTCTTTACAGACAAAACCAATCAAGGGTTGACACTATCAAGCTGGCCTTTAAAAGTGTGAAATTTAGGCCTTAGGATGTGTTCCTTCCCAGTGGCCATCAACCTGCTTCCAGGGGACTTAGGGGCTACAACAGGATTTCTGAGCCTCAGCATTACTGACCCTGGGCCAGACAAATCTCCGTTCTTGGGGGTGGGGGTGGGGTGGTGCTCCTCTGCCCGTGGGATGCTTGGCAGACTCCCTGCTCTATACCAAGTAGATGCAAGGAGCGCTCCCTGCCCAAGTTATTACAACGCAAAAGGTCCCTGGATAATGCCAGATGTCTCCTGGAAGACCAGTCGCCCCCAGCTGAAAACCACTGGTCTAAAGGGGGAGATGAGGATTCAGCAAAGAATGACAGATGCAGCTGGTATGACACACCTGAATGGAATGGATGGGGATGAGGAGAGGCAGGCGGTGTTTTCCAAGCACACTAGGGGGGGATCTGACGCAGGCTTTGCGAACAACTTCCCTGAGGAAGGCACATCTGCCTGAGAGCCGACAGGTGAGTGGAGATGAAAGCGGTGGGAGTCTGGGGAGGACAAGAGGGCAGGGCAAGGGACCACAGCAGGGAGAAGACCTGAAGGGCCAGAAGGAAGCCAGGAGGGCTGGATCCGGGCCCAGAGAACAACATAAGCGGCAAAGAGTGCAGCTGGAGAGGCCTCACACCAGATTCGAAGTCTGGTCTTTACCCTATGAGCACTGAGAAGCCACTAGAAAGATCTGAACCAGAGAACAAAGCAAGCAGGGCTGCACTTTTCAAGATCCCTTGAACTTCTACCTCCAGGTGGAAGAATGTCGAGGAGCCAGGAGTGAAGGAGGGAGGTGGGGAAGAGATACTGCAGGGGGTCGGCCTTGCAGAGAGAGGGTATGAGAACAGCGAGTTCTAGAGCAAACACTTAGAGGAAAACTGAGGCCGGGTGATGTACTGGATAGGAAGGATGGGAGGGAGAGGGCGGCAGTGAGGACCATGCTCAGGTCTGGGGTGTAGGAGGTGAGCCACTGGAGCACGTGGGTCAGGGGACCATGGCTGGGTTCTGGCGTCTCCTAGAAGATCAATTACATCTTCTAGGAGCAGCCCACTGCGAGCCAGACTCCCGCATTTTCTAACCAAGAACCCCAAGCCCAAGGCTGCCCAGCATAGCATTGATGGCTTTCCTGCCAGAGAAGCACGGGCCCAGCTTTAAGGACCTGGCTGCTGGAGACAAGCAGAGTTGACTTTGACAGGGAGGCATCCTTTTGCTCTTCAACTGCCAAATCACGCTTCAGCTGGAGAGATTCGCTTTGTGTGACTGAGACAGGAAGGAAGGGATAAATTAATGAGGCATTCCCACTGCCCCGCAGAACCCCGGGAGGCATCGAGCCGCCTGCCTCGCAAATGCCACCAGCACAGGGACATCAAACAAGGAATCTGAAGGGAGGCTTCCAGGGAGACGCTGGGGATGCAGTGACAAGATAAGGACACTAGGTGGTGCTAATATACCGCTTTTAAATAGCCCAACTTACTAATGGCCGTAGTTTCTCAAGACTCAGCATGGCGGGGTGGGTGGGGGAGACAAGAATCAGGAAAAGATCTACACCCGTCCTTCTAGGCGCCAATAATGAACCAAGGAGATTCAAGTATTGGAAAGCTTCCATCTCTCACTGATGACCATGTCAGTGTCAGATTTCCTGATTTCTACCTCTCTTCTCACCTCCTACCATGTTCTTATTTGATCTCCTCTATTCTGAAGACATCACTCCTCTGCTCCAATTAGTGGTGAGCGGTATGGGGATGCATCTATCTCCAACAGTTAGATCATCACCACATAAATAATTCTATCACCCACATGCGGATGCAACCATTCTTCTTATTTATTCTTTGAAATTAAAATAGCTCAGTTTTCCTTTTGATTAAGATGATTCATGTTAATGTTTTTAAAAAGAAACCCAAGTGATACAAAAAAAGAAGTGAGCTTAAAAGAAAAAAAAATTACCCCCAGTCCCAGAATCTAGAGATAACCATTGTTCACTTTCTGGCGATCTCATATTCAGGCATCTCTTCATAGACAAGGAAAAGCACACACATACAATTTGATGTAAATGGGATATGGTTTTATATTATAGTTGTTACATTGTTGTTGTGTTTTATGCAGTAAATGGTGAAAATATTTCCTTGTCAGTAAAGAGAGCCTGGCATCACTGTTTTGAATGAAGGTATACAGGTACAGAATTCCACTGTCTCAATGAACTAGAAAAAATATGTATGTATTCGAAACTAGCACTTAACTTTTTAAATGCTGAGATTATAATTTTGGAGACTCTGTGGATCACATAGGGAAAATCTCTGTCCCATAGGACCTTTGTAAAAAAAAAAATAAAAAAAGGTTTATTTTTATCTGAGAATTGAAAAACCATGTTACATTGTTTCAGGTATATAACAATGTCCTAGAAAACACTGAGTGAAGTTCACAAAAGAGGCAGGTCTGGCCTGTAAGGAGACCATCTACTTGGACAGAAATTCAGTAACTAAGGGGGGTTCCAAGGTCCATGTCTGTCCCAGACTATGTACTCAGTCTTGGAGTACAAAACCAGCTCAGGCAATATGTAGAGGAATGAGCCTGGCCGCACACCCGTCAAACTTTATTCATGGACACTATGTTCCAGTTTCTTATGATTTTCTTTTTTATGTTTACTCGCTATTTAGATACCAAATCCTCTATATTAGTCATTTTTTATTCAATTTATTTAAACTTAAAAAAATAGTTCCCACATGGATTTTCATGTGTTAGGAAATCTTTTGATTTTTTTTTTCACCTGCTTAGAATAAAACCATTATTCCTGGCTCATAAGGGTACAAAAGGTTGTGCTCAAGTTGGCCCATGGGTCAGTGGTCCGCGGATCCCTGATGGAAGATAAAGGGAGGCCAAAGGTTTATCTGAAGCGTGTTTACCACCTACATTTGTGTTCTTAGCCCTGGATGCTGCCCCTCCGTACAGCCCGAGAGGCTCACTCCTCCAAAGCTGAGACCCTTCCTAGCACCTACCAGTGTGGAATTATGTACCTGACTTCACTGATTACCCGTAATAAATAATCTACGTGCCCACTTGCATGGAGATCTGTGAGGCTGCTGCGCTGTCTCGCTGGCCACATTATCCCCGTGCTTACAAAAGAGCGGGCCCTCAGTAAAAAGTGGCTGGAGGAATGGTATGGGGGGGTGGGAATGGATGGACTAAGTGCCTGATTCCCCTGGTGCATGGGTCCTGTGTGCCAGCACCCCCTCCATCCCTCTCTCTGGCCAGCACCCCCACCCCACCCTGACCCAGACTCCTTGAAGGACTGGATTCAGCCTCACACTTCCCCTCTGACGTCTCTGGGCTCCCAGAGCTCCCCACCTCAACCTGCCCATCACGCGTGTCCCCGTTAGCAGCCCACCTCTCTGTCTCTGTGACCCTGCTGGAGGCGCCTCCCGGGCAGAGACCACACTCCTCATCACTCGGGGCCTCAAATTTCATTCATGGAACGAGGGAAGGTATTTAGCGCCTCAGTCAGGACCACTGATAAAGTTCCTGTCTACAGAATTTTAGTGCCACACAATC